AGACCTACCCCCCATTAATCTATCTCCCATCAACAACCCCATAACTCTGGTAATTTCTTTTCTCCTTTTAAATAATAACAGTCAGGCATGATTCAGAATTGTAAGGTATTCATTTGTAAGGCTCTTTTCTTCTGTATGTTTTCAGTCAAGGCGTGAGAAGCGCTTGCAGGTGGTTCTTTTTATTCAAGAAAGCGCGAAGACCTCGAGACCACTGGGGATGCAGTTCGCAAAGGTACTGATCTGTACTGATCCTAATTCCCTTTGAAGGGTATTTTGCTTCATTACTTACAGGGGAGATTTATAATAGAGTTTATAATAGCATTGTTTATATATGCTTGTTTCTTGTGGGACTATCGCAGGAAGTACACCCCCTAAGTCACAACAGAACAATAAACATCATTCATTTGCAGGTACTCAAGTACGTGTGTCTCTGTGTGTATATAGATGTATATATATTATTGTATTATTAATCTGGATTGTTTCTTGTGGGACTATCACAGGAAGAACGCCCCTTAAGTCACAACATAACAATAAACCTCAATCATTTGCAGGTACTCAATTGCGTGTGTGTGTGTGTATATAGATGCATATATATTATTATATTATTAATCTGGATGTTTTAACTGTAATTTTTTCTGTATTAATCCTTAACTCACGAAAAAGTCTTTGACTGGATGGTTAGTATACCTTTTTGTGAGATTCGAGTCGAGTTATGCGTTCCTGTGTGGTTTTAGTAAGATGTTAGTATGCGTTTTTGTAGGATTGTTGAGTCGAGTTGTGTATTCTAGTGTGTTTTCAGTAAGATGTTAGTATGTTGTAGGATTTGAGTCGAGTTCTATGTTGCTGTGTATTTTCAGTAAGATGCTAGTACGTCTTTTTGTAGAATTCGAGTCGAGTTGTGCGTTCCTGTGCATTTTCAGTAAGATGTTGAATGTTTGTGTGTCATCTAATTAGTGAAATGTATGTATTTATTTTTTATTTTTTATTTTGGAGAATCCTTAACTTATCCAGAAACAATGAGATGGTCAAATCCTTAAATAAAAACCCAGATAAGTCTGTTCATTTCCATCCTTTGGTCTATTAAAATGGGAATCTTTTGTTTTATTTTAAGTGATTTTACATCAGCTGAGAATTATCCAATATAATGAAGTAAAAGGAATATAAAATCTCATGACACCATACTTTAGACAAATCCAGTATGATGATGTATTTTATCTTCTTGTCGTTTAATTGGGATTCTTAGTTTACATATATTTTTTACTAGATTTGTGATAATGCAGTGGAGATATAACCAGGGTTGTTCTTGATGCTTCCATTGAGAGGCATATTGTAATTTAAATCCGTTAGCTATGATTAGTTGAGACATGGATAATATCTTAGCGTATAAACGAATCATGATGATAACGGTAGAAGATAAACCTTTGATCTTACCTCTTTTCTATAATTTTCTTAGTTGGATTATGTCACATGTAAGAATGATGATACATATTACTATTCAGTAGACTTTTATAGTTTATTAAGTGATAACTTTTATTGGCATGGCTTTTTGGGTTAAGTCGGTCATATATCTTTTTGTTTCCAACTTTTAGTTGAGTTGGTTGTGTTCAACTCATGGCTTGTGCGGGAAGAATTATAATTTTTGAAAGTAAAAAGTCAAATTGTTGTTGAATGATGATAATATGTCGTTGTTATCCAATTGAATGTGGTTGAATTAAGTGATGCTTTACAGATGCTCCGCGGCAGATATCAGCCAAATCCCAGCTGCATGAAGTCTGTGGTGCGAAGAAATGGAAAGGCCCTGTGTATAAATGCTGCAAAGAGGAAGGGCCTTCTCACATCAGATTGTAAGTACAAGTTTTACATAAATTTTGTGAAATATGTAATAAATTAAGTATGAGACTTCCCTAATAGTTCAATAGGTATTGACTTTTTAAACTATTACGAGAGATTGAGATCAGATGAGTATAATTTCTTACCTAATTAATCATTTAATTCAAAGTCAAGAAATACTCTGAATTCTGAAGAAAGCTCGGAGTAACCATTTTTCGTCTAAGAATTGCACGTGTTGAACAGGTTCACATTCAAGGTTGTGATTGAGATGGAGAATGAATCAAGAATTTTGGAGTGTTTTGGTGCTCCTCACTCCAGAAAGAAAGAAGCCGCAGAGCATGCAGCAGAAGGGGCATTATGGTACCTGCAGAGGGCGGGTTATATCCAATTAAACAAGGCATGAGCTGAAGATATTAACCAAGTAGAGCTCGTTCTTTAGCATACTGTACATTTGACATTATAAACCAGACAGTTATATATTTTGGCTTGTAACCATATTTAAGCCTATTTTCTATCGTTTAAGGATCAGTTGCAAAACCTTCTATCAGTTACTCAGTTTGTGAACCTCCTTAAATGTTGTTAGTATTTGTCTGTCATGAGGGCTCGTGTTTGCCGAGCCCTTATCCCAAATTATGAAATATGATACTTACCTTGACGGGTCCATAGGTATCGAGAAGACTCTTTGGCTATGGTTATTATTAGCATACATTACATGGGTAAACATTATTAAGCAGAAAACAATATATTTTGGCTTATAATGATATTAAGCCTCTTTCTTTCCCTATGGTTTTAGGAACAGTTGCTAATGCTTTTACTGCGGATAGAATTGTGAATCTCCTTGGCTGTTATTATTTGTCGCACTGTCTCAACTTGCATGGTAGAGAGTTCGACTTTATTCACATGTTTCTAGATGTATTTGAGTAAGTCGAATGTCTTGAGATATGTTAGGCTATAACATTTATTACTTTTTAAAAAATGCTTTTGACTTTAAATATATATATTCGAACTTAATATAACCATTCATCATCCAGTTTTTCTCATCTGCAAACCCTAGCTGTCGCGACAGCCACCTTCGGTCGCCCAACTCCAAACTGAGTCGTAGCTGTTGCCATTGTTATGTCCAGCCTCGCACCAAGCAGAAAGTAATGAAATTACTTTTAAACTAATATCAGAAATTTTTAAGTCATTATGTAAGCATAAGATAATTACAAGTAGATAAAAAACTGAATGTATGACTTATAGTAAACTTATGTCTGAGATGTGGAAAAAATTTAAAAAGAAAAAGGATCGGTTCCTAATTAAGTCACAAATATTTTCATCTTTTTTATAAAGTTTATTTGCATTTTGCAAAGTAGTCGTTAATTATTTTATAAAGTCATATTTTTTAAAAAAAATTTAAAAAAGACTTCAATTTTAACAATTAAATATCGTCTTTAGTACTTCAATCATATATATTGCTAATCAAAATCAAATTAATCAAAAAGTCATAAAAGTAGAACTATCAGTTTTAAACACATACGTTCCTTATAATCATACCGGATATAGTAATTTTTGAATCAACCACATAGATAATAGATATAATTATAGTAATAAATAGATATGAAAATCTCATCTATATATCTTTCTAGATATTGCTAATCAAAACTAAATTAATTGAAAAGTCACAAAAGCAAAATCATTAGTTTGAAACAAATATATATTTGTTGTAATCACATCTGATATAGTAGTTTTTCGAATCAACCACAGAGATAATAAATACAACTATAACAACAAATAGATATAAAAATTGTCTTTTTTTTTAAATATTATTAATTAAGACTAAATTAATCAAAAAATTACAAAAGTAAAATTATTAATTTTAAACAGATATATGTTCGTTGTAATCATATCCGATATAATAGTTTTTCAAATCAACCACATACATAATAGATATAACTGCAGCAACAAATAGATATAAAAATTCCATTTATATCTCTTTCTTCAATAGTTGTTAGAACAAGAAAGATTATTCATATCTTTACAAAAATTTACATTGACATATTTTGCATTTTAGGTTTTATATAATTGTACCCTTTTTACCTAAGTAAAATTTTTTTATAATTAATTATATAAACCTGTAATACAAACAAATCAAATAATCACTATATACAATGCCTTCTAGAAGAATTATTAATGGAACAAACCATTAATGGAAAAATTTAACTCACTATGCATCTTGTGTTATAATTATTTTAGATATTAAAACCAAATTACCTTGAAATACATTACGAAGTCCATATGGCTATTGGGAACATATCTTGTGTTATATTGTATTTATATAAATTAGAAAAAAAAGAACTTGGTAGGGTAAATTCATCCCCCTCAAATACATGTAACCTCAAAAAATTAGGTTTCTAGATCAGCTGAAGTGCTACTTATATATATATATATATATATACACCTTCATTCTCTAGTTTGAAAGGAACAAGGGCTGGACATCAAAAAATGGGAATCACCATTGAATGAAATATAACAAATAAAACCTCATAGTACCATAGAATACTCTCATTCCAAATCTAAAAACTTCCTCAACAACTTAAGAACTTCTCTTATTCCTGATCCTTGCTTTCATCTAAAACAATTTCTTATTCCTCATCTTTGCAGTCTGTCCCAAGAAAAAATAATCTTATTCCTATCCTGGCTTTCTCCTAGAAGAAGATTATACTGGAAGCGAAGGCAAACTAGAATATGTTTCAGTTTCTCATAACCCAGTTCTGCCTCTCAAAACTGGTTGCTGACCTCTTTCAGACAGTGTAGTGTTGCTGGATGGTCTCAATATCAAGTCCCTTAAGTTTCACCACTGATTCAACATGTCCTTTGAGAGTGTGAAGCTCCCTCAACCTGGTAACAACCAAATAGGAGCAAACAGATGATCAGGACATATTACTGGAAGGAATTAAAACATTTGATTTTTAGCTAGCAGTGATTATAATTCACCTGGCAACTTCAGCACGGCGTTTGGCCTGTTCAGCAATCTCAGACAACTCCCTGTAGTTACTTTTCTCATTAAAGAGTTCTGATTCTGGAGGTTGGAGGCCGTGCAAGGTGCGTTGAGCGAGAGCCCACTGTGCCTCCCTCTCCCCTCTTCCATAATCCTTCTTGGTTGTGAAGGCAGTCTGAATATCAAGCAGGAAGGAACTGTTATTCCAGATGATATGTTTGACGCCTTTTTCTTTATAAAGAAATTGGTTAATTAGTTAGATACCTTATTCTGGAGTAGATTATCCCAGGCCTTGCCACTCAAAGCATATCGGATAATAAACTTGAGGATGTCCAGTGGGAGGTAGGTGATTATGCTGTAGAGCCAGATAACACCAGCCCATCCCCATCCAATGCCTTC